CCCCTGCCCGGCCGCGCCCGGGCTGGTCCCCAGGCTCCGCGGGGCGCGCTGCTTTGTCCGGTCCATCCGGCACCACGCGCGTGTTACTAGACAGACACACTTGTCACAGGACGACCACGCATTGCATCACCGTCACGCAGGCCTCTTTCCTTGGAGTCCTGACAATTGGCCCCTCTCTGAGATCCTTCACGTGGTTTAAATTTTTTTTTGTTTTGATAAGTGAGCCTCTATCACAGCAATTACCGCGCCGTGTTGTGTTTACTCCACATTCCTCACCCTGTCTCACTTTTCCTCCACTTTGAAACTTGCGTTAGGGAGACAGTTGGCTGTTTAGCCCAGTACCCCTCAGGGCTCTCCCCCGCTGAAACACAGTTAAAAACTCCAGACGGGCAAATAAACATGCCACTGGTTGGCTGTGTGACCTTGGGAAAGGTCAGCTCTGTGCTTCTTGCTTGTGAAATCAGGCTGCTAATAACAGCGCACAGACCTCTCAGGTTCTCTGGAACGTCTGTCGGAGGAAGCGCTTCCTACCTGGTCACAGGTACCATTGTTCGCATTTGTGGGCAATACTTCTATAAGTGCAGGATGACCGTCAAACACATTTTAATTCCACCATGAAATTATTAATCCCCAATGAGGAATATCTGTAAACATCAGCCACTATTAGAACACACTTGAGTCTTTCAGACACTTAAGAAAAAAATCATTTTATTGGGGACTCATACAACTCATCACAATCTATACATCTATCCATTGTGTCAAGCACATTTGTGTATTTGTTTTCCTTATCATTCTCAAAACATTTGCTTTCTGCTTGAGCCCTTGGTATCAGTTCCTCATTTCCCACCCACCTCCTCACCCTAGCCCTTGATAATTTATAAATTGTTATTATTTTATCATGTCTTACACTGTCCGACGTCTCCCCTCACCCACTTTTCTGTTGTCCATCCCCCAGAGAGGGGGTTATATGTAGATCCTTGTGATCAGTTCCCCCTTTCTCCTCGCACCTTCCCCTTCCCCTCCTGGTATCGCTAATCCCATTATTGGTCCTGAGGGGTTCATCTGTCCTGAATTCCCTGTGTTTCTGTTGTAGCCTACTGTCCGTTCCCAGAAAGAAAACAACCCAGACCGCCGACAAGTCTAAAAGAAAAAGTTTTATTACCTGCGCAGGGACCGTCAGCCCTCTTTTTGAGAGGAGACTGAGCGGTGGCCTGTCTAATTTTCCAAAGGTTTTTATACTTTTGCCATGCGCAGGTATGCGCGCAAGCAGAGTACAGAAGCAGCATATTGCAGTTAGCCCTTCGTAGTTGAACAATCACTGCTCTTCGTTCTTCCATGCCTTCTGAACATACATTTCCTTCCGTACAGTCCGTTGCGCTTGTCAGCACAGCCTGCCTCCCTAATATCAGCTAGTTTATTTATAGTTTATAGCTAGTTCATTTATAGTTCATAATGGCTCCTGTCAGCTCAAAATGGCTTCACTCTTTGTCCAACTCTTATCTGTCCCAGTGTACATGCTCTGGTCTAGTCGTATTTGTAAGGTAGAATTGGGATCATGATAGTGGAGGGAGTAAGCATTCAAGAACTAGAGGAAAGTTGTACGTACAAGCATGCACCACATAACGTGTGTGGACAAGGCCCAACCGCACAGACATTCATGGTCCCATCAGTTTTGTTTTGTTTTGTTTTCCTCCCCCAGAAATCAGAAAGGATTTATTGGCCGGATCTATTGCTCAAGGCTTACAGTTTGAAATCATCCCACGCTCGGTGGAAGAAAGACTTGGCTTTCTACTCCCGTAAAAAGTTACAGTCTCGGAAACCCACCGGGCAGTTCTACCCTTTCCTATAGGGTCGCTCTGAGTCACTGTTGACTGGGTGGCAGTGTTTGGGCGTGCAGAGGTAGGTGACCTTACAAGAATGTGGGTGGATCTGGAGCCCCTCCCTCTGGAGCCTGGCCCAGCTGTCCCGCCCACTCCCCCGGGTACTCCACCCACTCCCCACCCTCCCACCTGTGCTCCCGCTCTCCTGCAGTGGGAGGGCCTGGAAGAAGTGAGTGTCCCCCCAAAGCCTTGCCCCACTCACTGGGCTTCTGGCTCATGAGAGGGCAGTGGTGGTGGAGGAAGATGGACCACCTGTGGAAGTGCTTGCGGCGCTCGTATCTGTCTGGCTGGCTGAGGGTCTCTTGCCTTTGTGGGTCCGGTGCTGCAGCAGCCGTGGATTGCGCTTGAAGCCATTTGTGCCGGTCTCCTGAGGTCCAGCTTCCCATCCACATGCGGCCCTGCTGGTCCCAGAAACCTTCCTCGGGCCACTCAGAAAACTCACTGCCACGGGCTCTGAGCCACGGCCACCCTATCAGGCAGGGTAGAACTGTTCTTGTGAGTTTCTGAGATTCTAACTATCTAAGGGAGTAGAACGCTCCATCCTTCTCCCAGGGAGTACCTGGTGGTTTAGAACTGCTGACCTTGTAGTTAGCAGCCTAATTCTTAACCACTAGACCACAGTCCTATTCACATCGCCCCACTTGAGCAGATGGTGCTAGGGGCCCCTATTGCAGGAGTATCATGCACGACTCCTGTGTGGAGATCTAGTGGGACTAGTGGTAGCTGGCCTGAGACACCCCAAACTGCCATGGGCTCCATGGAAAGGTCCCCAGCATGCTCCTCAGCACGACTGTATCATGGTCTACCCCAGCCTCAGGAGGGCACTTCAGGGCAGAGACTGAGGATCATGGAGGTGAAGCCAGGGCTCATGGTGGTGATGGGCTCTAGGAGGTGTCCTGGTGATGCCAGATGGACGAAGGGCAAGAGGGAACTCCTGTTGGTCCCCACAGGGCTGCCATTTTCCATGAGGTCTCTGGAAGATGTGTACACTTGGAACCCCTACTGTGGTAGTTATGTAATCGTTTGTCAATTTGAGAGGATTCAGAGTGCAGGAGTGGAGTCTATAGAGCCTGTCAATCAGGTCTAGTCCATGAGGCCTCTGTGTGGGCATGGCTTTCTCCTGAGGATTCTGGGAACTCCTGTATTCCTTCTTGGAGATGGTAGACACTCTCTCGCCTCACTCCCTGGGATACATTGCAGCTGACAAGACACATGGAACTACTCTAGTGCCCTGAGCTGGTGGAGCCACGTGGAGACCCCTGCCAGCGCTGAGATGCTTACAAGCACCACTGGATCCACAAGAGTTCCCACCGTCTGGCCTGTGGTCTTCCTGCATGCAGCATCATTGCATGTGTTTTGAGAGTCTGAAGAGGATTTTATAGATTGGTATCGGGCATAAGGGCTAATTTTATAGATTGGTATCGGACATAAGGGATTTAGGGACTTGAACTGGACTGGGCCAGGATGTTTTCTTAATGTACAATTACTTTTTATAAAGCTCTTTCTTATACATATATGAGTGTCTATGAATTTATTTCTCTAGTCTACCTAGACTAACACACTTACCCTCACTGTTTGAGTGGGAGTGGGGTCTCAGGGAAGCCCCTTCAGCTCATAGGGCAGCAGACTCTCCCTCTGAGCTCAGGCTCCAGCCTCTCCCACTGTAACAGCCAAAGCAGGAAGGGATACCTGCACTGAGGCGTCAGGAGTACACATCCTCCATTTGCCACCCCCGATGTGCAGATGGCGAAGGGCCAGATTATAGAAAGGATAACTGCAGAGAGCAGCCACATGGGCTCAGACCCAAGGCTCCACACACGCCTGGGGCCTTTAGATGTTATCTGAGTCAGGTATTGTGCAAACACTGTGTTGTATCCTATACACAATGCCTACATCATGCTATGTCCTCTTGCGCAGCATGTGTTGTGTATGTTGTTACATATCTATGTTTTTCCTGTAACCTCTCAACGGTGTGGTTTCCAGCAAGAATGAATAGCCAAAGAAGAATGAGACACCCGGAACCAGAGTTGAAGAGTTAAAACATAGCCGAATAAACACATATACAAAACGTAACAGCTGTGTGGTTGGGTGCAATCCCCATCCTCAGGAAGAAATGACCCCCCAGGTCAGAACTAACCTTTATCCATCACTATGCGGGGGCTTCTGGAAGTTCATGGGAAATGGAGTTAAAAGAGAATGGGACTTGCCCCGGAGCTTTTAGGAGGCTTCTCATATTTCCACAACAACGGGCTCAATGGCGAGGGTGGTGCAGAACTGGGTGGTATTTCATCCTGTTGTCTGCATGAGGGGTGCTATGCATCTGAGCGCAGTCGACAGCCCTTGACCTCTTTATCGGTGTGCCTTTCAAGGGGAAGGTCCCGTGCTAGACACCGAGGGTTAGTATTTAAGAGTCAGTTCCAGAAGAAGAGAAAAGAGATTAAAGAAGACTTTACTTTTTCGAGTCGGCATCAACTCAATGGCAGTGAGTTGAGTTTGGTCCTTTTAATGAGTTGACTTACGACTGGGTTGCAACCCATTGTAAAGAAAACCAAGCTCCTCACAACTGGACCAATATCTTGCAAAGACCCACAGTCATTGCTCATGGAAGCAGCAGTCAAGCGACCCAGGGACATCATGCATTGGGTAAATCTGCCGCACACGACCTCTTTGAAGTGCTGAAAAGCAAGGAGGTTGCTTTGAGGACTAAGGTCCTTCTGACCCAAACCATGG